GACACCGAGTGGCGTAAAAGGCAGGCGCGACATACTAACTCGCATACTAGTGTCGCACACATAAGGCGGTTGATGTCAAAACATCGATCGATCGATCATCGATGGATCGTCAAAAAGCGCTGTGACACACCGCGCGCCGCTAGCGGTTCAGCGCAGATATGAGTGATCGCTGAAGATGGAGCCAAACAGCGGATGAGCGACGTAAGCGGTTGCTCTTATTCGAAATACAATACATACACACATATATTGCGAGAGGGGCACGGAGAGCAGTGCGGTGGCGCGCGTTTAACGCATATGGCATATCTGCGCGTGTATCTTGTAGTTGTACGCGTTTATAGTTTGTTGTTTATAGTGTTGAAAAAGCAATTTAATTTAATAGACATATTTGTGAGCAACTAAATAACAAAATTACAGAATTTAGTTGCTTCAATATATATTTTAGTTGTTTTTTTTTTATTTTCTTTGCGAAAATAAATAAATAAAATTATTTCATACATATTTATGTACAAATAAGTATATTTGCGCGCAACAGCTCATTTGTCATTTTTGCAATTGAAATTAAAAACCAAATAAATTCAAAAAAAAAAAAACAAATATTATTTTTTTTGTTGCGTTTAAAAAATAACATCGTTTTCATAATTTGGTTATAAATCAGCAAACAAGTTCGATAATTGTGTCAGCGGCAGCCACACATAGCGTGTCTGCTTGGCAGCTGCCGCCTCACCAATCTGGACATTTCGTCAAATGTCGGAGCTGATGGGTGCAGGGCTGGCGGTGAAGGCGTTGGGGTGTAACAATGCTTATTTGGTTCGAAAAATGCGAAAAATATAGTACTCAAAATAGGCAAATAGTGAATGTGCGCATATTTATTCATTTTCTTATAATTATAATATGTTACAAATTATTTAGTTAACTTTTAAAATATTTTAAATGAATATGCTTTGTATTTTATATATTACAATTTCTTAATTTATTTATTTTATTTTTTTAATTAGTTTTATTATTTTATTTTGCTTTTGTTAATTAAATTTTATTTTATTTTCTTCCATTTTATTTAATTTATTTTTTCATTTAATTTAATTTATCTTACTTTTTTTTGTTTTAATTTATTTTATATTTTCATTTTATTTATTTTATTTTCCTTTTTTCATTTTTGCAATATTGTTTCATTTTGAATCATTTCATTTCATGATTTTATTTGATTTTATTAATAATTTATGACTACTTTGCATGCAATTGGTTTCATCTTATTTTAATTTTTTAACTGAATCTTTTTTTAATTTAAATTAATTTAATTTTTTATTTAAGTTTACTTTGTTTTATTTCTTTTTTAATATTTTGCTTTATTTTCTTTTATGTCCTTTATTTTATTTTTTTAACTTAATTTAAATAATATTTAATTTAAATTGATTTTGTTTCATTTCTTTTAAATTTATTAAGATTAATTTTATTGAGTTATATAGCAATTTCTTTAATCGTATGCCAATATATTCTTTTATTTAATTTACTTTATTTAACATAAATTCAAATAATTTTATTTAATTTTTTTTATTTTAATTAATTTTATATTTAATTTAAGATTATTTCATTTTATTTCATTTAATTTTTAATATTTCACTTTATGTTCTTTCATATACTTAATTACATATTTTTTTAACCTAATTTGGCTTCCAAAAAATTTTTTGTTAATTTGTTTTATTTAATTAAATAATATTTTATTTATTATTTTAATATTTTATATATTTTTTCAATTTAAATAACTTAGTTTTATTCAGTGATGTATTATTTTCTTTAATCGTATGCCAATATATTCTATTTATTGATTTACTTTACTTAACATAATTTCAAATAACCTTGCTTAATTTAATTTCATTTAACTTAACTTTATTTTAATTTATTTCATTTAATCTTTTTTAAATATCATATTTAACTTTTTCCTTCATTTTAACTTAATTTTATTTTTATATTTTTATTTTATTTATTGCATTTTAAACTTTTTTATTTTATATGTTTTTTTCATTTATGCGTTATCATATTATTTTAAATCAGTTTATTTTAATTTTTAATTTCAAATTCTTTTAATTATAACGTACCAAAATATTTTACTTAGTCGGTTTCACTTTAATTTTTAAATTAATTAGTTACGTTGTCTTACTTCATTTGATTTTATTGTAGCGCTATTTTTATTTATATCATCTAATTTATAAAATAAACTGACAATTTTATTTTTTTATTAACTTATCAACACGTTTTAATTAACTGGTTTTCTCTAAAAAATTAAGTAACACTATGTTTTACATAGTTGGTTCTGTGTAATTTCTTTTATTTAATTAAATTTTTTTTCATTTGATTGAATTAAAATAAAATAGTTTTTTTTGCATTACTTTTAAATTTATTTATTTTAAACATTTACTTTACTTTTTTCATTAATTTTGTTTTGTATTCCTTGATTTCATTTTTTATATCTTTTTCAATTTAATTTTAATTTTTTTTTTATATTTTTAAAATAATTTTATTTTTTTATTAAATAATTATTATTAAAATCAATTTAATCTTCTCTTAATTTAATTTCTTTTATAAATTTTACTCTCTTTCATTTTTTCCCGTAATTTGTTTTAATTTAAAATATTTTAATATTTTTTTATGTGTTTTAATTAATTTTTTTTATCTCTCATTTTATTAAAGGTTGTTTTATCTTATTTTATTCTATATTAATTTGAGTATATTTATTAAAAATAATTTAATTTTTTATATTTTCCTTTTAATCTTTTTTTTATTCAATTTCATTTGAAATTTTTTTTTTTTTAATTTTATTTTATGTTATGCATTTTTTTATTTTATTTTCTTTAATTTTTTTTATTTAATGCTATTTTATTGTATTTTAATTTTTTTATTCTATTTTTTTCTGTCTTATTTTTTCATATAATATTTATTACACTGGTTTAATTTAAATTAATTTAATTTATTTTATTTTATTTTATTTTATTTTATTTTATTTTATTTTATTTTATTTTATTTTATTTCGTTTTTGTTTTAATTAAGTTTTTTATATTTCTGTTTTAGCTCATTTCATCTCATTTTATTTCATTTAATTTTGGTTTTGTGTATTTTATTTCATTCTATTTGGTTCTATCTTATTTTCTTTTTAATGTATTAATTTAGTTAAATTTAATTTAATTTAATTTTATATTAAGTGGTTTCTTTTTATATTATGTAGTTTTATTTTATTTTAAATCATTTTTTTAATTTTATTTTACTTTATTTATTTTTTAAATTAATTTATGTTTATTTCATGTCACCTTATTTTATTTTATTTAATTTTAATTAATTGTGTCTTATTTTATTTTTTCTATTTTGTTTTATTTATTTATTTTTTTAATATTTATTACCCTAGTTTAATTTAATTTAATTTAATGTAATTTTTTTCGATTATTTAATTTAATTTTACTTCATTTGTTTCTAATTTTATTTAGTATGATTTGATATTATTTTATTTAATGCTTTTTAATTTATTTTTCATTTATTGTATTTCATTTTATTTGATACTATTGTGATCTTTTATATTTTTTATTTAATGTATATTAATTTAGTTTAAATTAATTCAGTTGAATTTTATTTTATATTATTTCATTTTATCTTATTTAGTTTTTTATGTTATTTATTTTTTATTTTATTTTATTTTAACTTTAATTTATTTTATTTCAACTTATTTTATATTATCTAATTTAATTTTATTTTTATATTGTATTTAATTTTTTTATTTTGTTCTTTAAATTTTTTTCTATAATATTTACTAATTAAATATAATTTTATTTAATTTAATATAGTTTAATATAATTTATATTTTTTCTATTTAAATTTTTTTACCCTTTTATATTATACATTTTTTGCGTTTATTTAATTTCATTTTTCTTTTCTTATTTTTAATTTTATTTTGTATGATCTTATATTATTTTAATTTAGTTTGGTTAATTTTAATTTTAGTTTATTTTTTTATTTAATTTTATTTTTATTAGTTCATTTTTAATTTATTATATTTTATTTTAATTTATTCAATCTGGTTCTATAATTTTTTTATTTGATATTTATTATTTTATTTTATGTTTTAATTTAATTTAATATCATTTTATTTTAGCTCGTGTTATTTTTTTTAATTTTATTTTGTTTCAGTTTTTTTAATTTAATTTTACTTTACAAATTTTTTTTATTTTTAGTTAATTGTAACTTACTTTGTTTTATTTCTTTATGTTTTAAGTTTTTTTCAGTTTAATTTTACTTTACTAATATTCCATTTTATTTTAGTTAAATTTACTTTATTTTGATTCTTTATGTTTAAAGTTTTTTTCGATTTAAGTCAATTTATTTTGTTCTGTTTTATTTTATTTTATATATTCGGATTTTTTTTTTAGTTTTGTTTTATATTATTTTTTTAGTTGTGATTTCTAGTTTTTCACATTTTTTAAATTTTTAGTTTTGTTTTCTCCATACACTAATTTACTCCGATTTGTTTATTAATATGGTAATTTGAGATAACATTTTGTACATGACAGCTGCCATATCGGCACAGACTCGTGCTTTGGATGCCAACATGCACGGCAGTGGACCGTAGCATAGCAAGCGGTTGATGTAATGCCATGCAATGTGATAAGTGAGCGAAAATGGTCATCAATGAATTGATGATGCAATAATTTGGTCTTGTTAATTTGCAAGTAAAATAAAAAGATATGAAAATTATTTTCATAAATATGGCCAGATTGGTTTTGAAATGAGCAGCGACAGTTGTACTGACAGACAAGCTGTTGTTTGGTGGTGATCTTGAGTATATGTACTGGCAAGCTGAGACAATTAGCGCTATGATCCCTCTCTCTCTATGTTAAAACTTACTAGTTTTTGCACTCGCCTGTTGAGGAGGCCGATTTTGTGTGCTGCACATAATTAAATTTAAAGAAATTTTAATTTTTTTATATTTTTTTTTCAAAGATTCACAATTTCTTGTAAACTTTTATCAAAAATTATTTTAATCAAAATTCCATTCTTCCTTTTCTCTCCACTAAGTAATTCAACTTCATGTACATAAATGTACATATATGTATTTTTCATATCCGCAATAAAATATGCTATAAACCGAAACTTGTGTAACCGCAGACATACTTCAAAATTTGTTAGCGAACTAAAAGAAATCTTCAAACCTGTATGAAAGTGTTTTGAAATCAGAACAAAAAAACACGGAAGAAACAAAAAGCCAAGGGAAAGTGGAGAAAGCCCGATGAAGTGTAAGACAAAACCAGGCCAAAAGTTATAACAATACAAGCAACATCCTGCTCAACATATTAACAACCACAACAACAAAAATATACCAGCAGAAACAACAAAAGAGACACACCAAAAGATTTACAGCCTCACGTTTCTTCGTTGGTAAGAAAATCCGAAATTTTAAAACTCAAAAGTTTTAAACACCACAACAACACTAACAACAAAAGCAACATCAACGGTTATGTAAATCCATCAACAACAACAATTTTACAACTAAAATCAATGTTAGTATTAAATGCGCAATGACGGCGGGTGTGTGTGAGTGATTGAGTGCGAGAGTAAGTGGGTAAGTGAGTGGGAGTGTGCGATTGAACTTTGGAATGCGCCAGCTGGCAGGCGGTGAGCCCAAGAGCTTTTTCCGCGGCTCATGAGGTGCGTAAAGTAATTTTAATAGAAAATTGATTTATAATTGGAAAATCTTTTACAGAAATTGATTTGCCACAAAAACCACAACGCCACGCAGCCCACACGCCAGGCAGTCGCCTGCCCGACTCGAGCCGTTTTAAGTTTTGAAAAGTTTGAATATTTTTTGCTGACAAGCAGCCAAAGCTGAGGTCAGAGTATCTCTGAACCTCGCAGGGGATGATTATGCCATTCCTCGGTAGGCAAGAATGGGGTTGGGGGTCACGTTGACGAAGTTGATGAGTTTGCTGATAAGTGTTGCTCAAAATTTCATTGTCTCTCGCAATCACAAACTTCCACAAATTGATGCACTTCCTTCCTTAAGGTTTCTCAGTATTAAGTGAGAGGGAGCTTTAAAGGTGTCTTCGACATTTTGTACGTAAGCTCCTAGTGCTGCTTGAGGTGTTTGATTTGGATGCTTTGCGCTTGACTTCTTTGAAAGCCAAGAAAAAGTGAAAGATTTTGTATATTTGTAGCAGTCTATAACCACTTCTTGTTTGCTTCTTTGCATTTTAAGGCGTGTCCGCAGCCAACACCATGCCACACATTGTCCACACTCGAAAATTTCGTTTGCCTTGATGGCGAAAATACGTCAAGACCCAAGGAAAGGAAGTAAAATGTAGGGAAATCTTCCAAAAATAAAATAGCTTGCGATTTCTTACTGCAAGTTTCTTTTTCTTTACATTTTCATTGCTTCTAACTTTGCGTTGTTACTTTCTTTGAGGAGTTTTGATGCTTTCTAGCGGTTATTAGTGGCGTTGTGGCGACGTACAGTGGGGCGTGAACGGTGTGAAAGATTTGTGAAAAGTATAGTACAGCATTACCAACCATCAAACTCAGAAGCTACCCTAAGTTCGAACCAAAGCACAGTAGCTGCAACGCTTATACTATAAAAGAAAGAGGTAAGAAAATCGCTCAAGCAAGTGAGCGGTACCAGATGGCAGTCTTCAGTCGGGAAGATAGCCAAAGGGCAGACTGGCAGCATATCAAATACAGAAGAAGAGATGAAATGCCAGCAACAAATCGGGAGAAGCTCTTTAAAAAGTACGAATGGGAGCCACTGGAGGATAATAAACAGAAGGGGTACAAAATGAGGAACAGAAACTCGGTTCAATAAACGCGATTGGGACGACACCGAACCGACATCCCTGCTGTGGATGGTACATTAGTGACGTAGACAGAGAGAAACCAGGTAGTCATAGTGGATACCGCCTCAACTGGTCTGTACACTATCCAGGAGAAGTGGCTAGATTGCCATTCTTGGCACTAAGCTATGTGCTCAATATTCCGGTAAACTCTCCGAATTTTAACCCTACGGATTCCCAGGGTCAAGTCTCATGGGATTCGCTTGTGGAAAGCGTTGCTAAACATACCAATGTTTATATCAGCCTGAGATTGAGGCAAAATGTATTCTAGGGAGACCTTGTTTTTGTTCTTAGCGGTTCCTTTTTTAAGAGTCGGACGAAAAGCTCAAGCCCCAAAACCAGACAGCGTCGATGGTTGAAAACTCATGAAGGCGGGAAACCAAAAATATCCAATATACCGATTAAGGTTGCCTTATAAAAACGGTTCATAGAACTTTAGTGAAGACTGATAATGAATTCAGCTTGGCAAGTCATAAGACTGGTTGAAAATATTCCAATGCAACTAAACGGCTGACGAAGGCGAGATGGTAGAGGTCGACGACTTCAGCCATTTGTGGTGATATTAAGGCACAACACAACCTAGGGGGAAGCTCGGTTTCATAAGTCAGAGGTGAACCTCTCTTACAATACATATTGAATACATATTGAATATATGCAATAAGCAGGATGGAAGAAATTTTTGGGGAGAGTGACAGCCGAGTCGTTGATAACTGGAGGGTATTCGAGGAGCCATTGATAACGAATCACTGTGGAATTCTTAAAAATAACGGAAATACCTCCATGGTGGGTCAGCAAGCTTAAGAACCTCCGTACATAGGAGAGGAAAGCGAAGGAAAGGAAGCTAATGGAAACTGCTGGGCTTACGAGCATCCTCCCCGGGGAGCACAATAATTTGCCTGCTTTTATCATCGTTGGGTATTGACTAATTCACATTTTTACGATTTAAAGGTTAAGGAGCCCTTCTGAACCATAAACCATCAGCTTCTTTCTACCTGATCCACAACAACAACCTAAACATACAAAGCATAGAGGTCTGGAAGCTACTTTATGAAGTAACGTGTCCTTGGTGAACGCCACAACACGCAGAGCCTTTCAGTGACCAAAAATGCTAGGAAACCAAGTTAGTATCAAGAAAAATGGACCTTCGCTTACGCGATTGTAGTCGATTCAAGAAAGCGCGGAAATGGTTTCTTTTTTTTTTTTTGCTATGCGGCACCAATTGAAAACCCCAAATGAAGTTAAAACTTTTTCCACTGGAACTTTTTGTCTTTTTACCGACGGGTGTTGAAAATCTATAAAATTGCAACATTTTCGTCTAGCTGGACTGCTTTTTTTTAACGGGGATACCTACAGCCGCTCTATTCGTTCATCACTCCACATCACGTCTTTGCTGACGTCCCGCTTTAAGGTCAATTTACGAAACATACAACGACTCGGAGAGACGAATGAGAAATTTACATTTGGATCGCATTTGAAACCGTGATTAAGTGGGAGAGATTTGTATAAGCCAAGCGGTTAGTCTTCTCTGCCAAATCTTGGAAGCTGAGCTTAGTGAATTATTATTCCTGCGCCTCCCTTCGTAATGGGAAATCGGTTCGAGTGAGATGTGAGGCATTCACACGGAAGATTAAGCAAATATTCCTCTACCAGCAGGCGAGCATTTAAACTAACGACTCAGTTAGATTATTCTTTATAGGACAGCAGACGAAAAAAATCGTCTTCATTAGGAAGAAGCTCAATCCTGTTTAAATCAAGAAATTTCATACCACTGTTGGCGGCAACCCTGTTTCCCTCTCAGCGCCCGCCTGTTGAAACGTATTCGCTCACGCTGTCTCATTCTCTCCCACACCCGCCGGTCTCACCCCCCACCTGTCAAACAGACTCTTGAGACAACTTTTCCAATTGACTTTGCTTACGTTGGTATTTTTCTTGCTAACAGCTTTTTCCCCACCCGCAAAAACCAGCTAACCATGTGGCAAGTAAATAGAGAGCTTCAGTGCAAAACGAAGAAGTAAACAATAAGAAAAAAAGAATTAGAAAATGAGAAGTTAGGAAATAGCTATGCAAGCTGAGCAAAAGATGTGGCGAGGTGCGTTAATGCGGCCACAATACAAGCGCATGATGAAGCAGAAGCAGAAGCAGAAGGAAGAGTAGAACATTAAGACCAAAAAGACGTGGAAAATGTCGATGCAGCTGCGTCCGCCGTTGTTGTTGTTGTTGTTGCTGTCGTTGCGCCACCGCCGGTGGTTACATTGTAATTTTGAAAATGAGTAAAGTTTTTGAAAAACCTTAAAGTGGGTTTCTGTGGCTGTGCGTCAAAGTGAAAATAAGAAACAGCAAACAAACGAACAACCAAACACACCAGCATCGAACGTGGGGGCAGAGCGAAAAAAGAGCTTGAAACAAAGTTTTGTGCAGAGATAAATTTTTGCCAGATTTTTGCTATCTTTGCATTACTACTTTAAAGCAACCACTTGCTAAGACACAAGCGCACTCAAAGAACGAGCGCAAGCAGCCGCGTTGGTTGCTCTACAAAAGTCAACTTCAAACGTGTGCGGCGGCGGCAGGCCAGGGTTCGCAGAGCCCCTTGTTTTTGACGTTGCAAGCTTTGAAGCGGAAACTATTACGAGCTGTTGCTGACGCTGCGGCCGCCGCGGCTCTGAAGTCTTTGCCGTCTTTGCCTTGGCTACTACCAACATCCAACAGCCAACAGCTGCGGTGCTCGAGCGGACTTTGGTTGCGGCCTGCGGCTGTTGCGGTTCATTTAATTGAATTACGAGTATCTTTATTGAGTTCGTCGCGAGCGGTGAACGCATAAAAGGATTAACACGCAAAAACTTTTTCATTTTCACTATCTATCTAAGCGGATTTTTTGCTCTCCTACTGGCTTTCTTACATTTATAACATTCCTCAGCAGCTGCTTCCTTTTGCACTTTCGTTACTTACAAAGTCATTTATTTGAAAATTTTCTACTTCTTAATAAAGTTGCTAATACGCGCCACAGGCTGGCGGGGCATAATGAGCGACTGACCGTCCAATCAGTCGGCGGACCGACCGACCTGTTCGCTTATCTGCTGCAGTGCCATCGACTATTTCGCTTTGTAATTCATTTTATTTATTGTAGGCGCTAATGTCCTTCATAGATTTCGCCTTGAGGACATGCACTCATATACACACATGCATACATACAAATATAAGCAAAAAGACCGTCTTGATCCGCACGTCACTGTTGTCCTCCTTGTCTTCGCCTCCTGCTCCACCAACACTTCTGTTGCTCGCTCGCTCGCTCACTCACTCACTGTCTTTTGCACAATTTGAAATTAATTTGCTTCTGCACGCAATTGTCGTCAGACAACAACAATAACAACAACAACAACAGTAAGAGCAAGAGCGGAAAATCAGTGCAATCATTTTGCCTTTCTGCCTTTCTGCATTACTGCTGCAAGTGTCCTTCCGCTGCATCCCAACCCGCGCCGAAGTGTGTCGCCGCTACAAGGAAAAAAGTATAATTTTTCACCTGACTGCCGTCTTCCTTATCTTTCTTTGTGCACCGGCTTTCTTTATCCTCGCTGTCCGTTTGCATTGCGTGTGCATTTCTCTTCGGTACTCCATGCAGGCCAGCGGCCGTTTTACGCCACACTCAGGCTCAACATTTAATTATTTCTCATTTTTAATTTACAACCACTCGACTGCTTTGATTAATTTGCGCGTAACGGTGTAGAAAATAAATTTCACAGATTTCCTTTCGAGTGTATCCTTAGACCACTTCTGCGTGGGTGGTTTTTAGCTCGGGGATTGAAGATGAAGTTTTGCAACGATTGCATGTGGAAGAATTGTAATAGGAACCTTTCTTATCCTGATACCTCAAGTACTACTGCTCTGCTAGGTTTTAATCGGCTGTCCTTCAGAAATACTATGCCATTTTTCATACAGAGCTCTGGGACGTTTACTCCTCTCGAAGTTTCCTGGGGAAGTTTCCAACGTTATATTACTCCAACCAGTACACTCTTCGTCCTACTGTAACACGGTTGGTTGGTTGAAAAAGGCAACTTGCAGACCTCAATGCGGGCGGTCGCACTTAAGCTTTTGAGCAGGCTCGTTGTACTCTCCGGCTTAACCCAGCTAGAAGATATCGTACACTTCGCCCAATTTGATGTATTTTCTTTCATCCATACTTGTATATTTCCATTTTCAGGAGCTGGGTGCATCACAGAAGATATGAAGCCACAATCGGCTTAAGGCCAGGGGCATGCGAAGGTAATGCTCCAGAATATTCTGAGCATGTTCTGCGCTCATTAGAAATAACATTATCTAGTTTTTGAGATGATATCTGAGGGGTGGATGCGCTGTTATTACAAGGGTGCCAAGTTTCACTTTAATAGCAATCAACACTTTGGTCTCTCTGTAACACTCCCTGACCCAAAGTAAATCGGTGGTTCGCTCTTGCTAGTGTTGAGTGTTTCTCCAAGTTCCACCTCTTTACGCAGCATTTGAAGGTCTGAAGCAGTCGGCAGCGGCAGCTGCACCGCGTTGGGAACTTCTTTATCCTATGTGACACTGAATACCGGGTTATATTCACTGTGAACTTCTGAGATAGTCTAAGAAATCTGGACTTTGCGTTGTCACTCCTAATTGGTGGTTGACTGTCTAACAGAAATCTAACTGACTTTCCCATTAAAGCGGTTGGACCATTTCTTCTGTAATGCCCACAGTATCTGCATGCTGAGCAGAGTAATGCTCATAAAGCTCGAAGCAACCTGCTTTATTGGTAGGTTTTCTAAAGAAGCTTGCCAAATAACTGCTGATTACTGATTGATTTTTCTTCCGTCCAATCTTTTTTGCATGGGAACTCCTTTCCGTCTCTCGTTCGCATTGTACGTTTTTTTTAATTGATTTTTACTGCGACATCGACTGCTTTACCCTTGACGTATTCGTATGCGTGCTAAGGGAATGACAGCCGCTAGGTGGCTACTTGTGGTTTGGTTTTTACCATACTTTTCAGCAGAAGGGATGACAGAAATATCGGCTTATACGACGTCGGGGATTTCCTTTTCATCTCTCAGTCGGACAACATCAGAAACGCTCTGTCGAAATCAGGGATACAAACAAAATGCAAGACCAATAAGATCATAGCTTACGCAGTCTTGAAAGAACAAAAGGACAGTTGTAAGTCTATTGACCGGTCATATTGGCATCACACGCCTGCATAATGGAGTTAAAGAGACACACCCAAGGAAGTTTGGTGAGGCAAGTATGAGTAAGTGGTTGGAAAACCTCTACCCTGGACCGGACCGGACTTCTGTAAAACTTGTCTGGGATATTTTGAAGCTTCGCTCTTCAGAGGTCTAGAGGAAGTTTAAAAAAATATGTTGATATTTGCCAGCTGCTACTACAAAGGACAAACAGATCTGTGTAAGACGAAACAGCCACCCAAATTTGAAGCGTTCCAATTTTTGATGGGTACGTTAGTAGAGAAGCATGCAAGAAAGGGCATTTCTCTTCCACTTGCCATTATGTAAAAGTCTGGGCATATCGCTTTCTACTTTCAAGCTCTCTGTAAGGTACGTTGGTAGAGAAGCATGCAAGAAAGGGCATTTCTCTTCCACTTGCCATTATGTAAAAGTCTGGGCATATCGCTTTTTACTTTCAAGCTCTCTGTAAGAGTGCTGTTCATCGCAGTAGCTAGCTCGTGCAGCAATGTGGCTAGAGTAATATGACCGGCAGGGAATAAAAGAAGAACGGGAGTGAGCTGGCTAAAACGAAAGAAACTATGTAGAGTGTTGGGTCTTCTTACGGAAGAAACATCTTCTGCAGGAGTCCTAGAGACCAGATAAAACTGAACATACAGGACACTACTTTGCGTATGTCTCGAACTTGGGAAGGGCATGTGGCAACTTCTAGACACGGTGCCCTTTAAGGACTTGAGCGAAAGAGAGGGTTTTGCAATTTTTCTCACACATTTGTTTGACCCACTGTTGATGGCTATTCGGTTTCTCAGTGGTGTAATAGATTTATCGCTTTAGATCTATTTTTGATTTATTAATTTGACCATAAGAAACTTCGACTGCAGCGGCCGCCAAATGATCGACTTACATACAGTATTACGACTCTTGCGAGATCACTTTCAGCAACGATGACATAAATCACACGCTACAACTTGTACGACATACACTACTTATGGGTTTGCTATTAACGGCGAACAAAATTCAGTAAAACAGAGTAAGAAGAAGTACGTTCAGCCGGAACCTGAATTAAAAGGTTTGATAAACCCATCGAATAGTCAACCCTACGAGTACGGCAGTGAGGTAAATACTGATAGAGCAGATCTGGATCTGTCGTCTTAAACTCGATACTTAACCGGAAGTGGGAATCGTGTGGACTGTAAGTTGTAGTGGAGGCTCACTGTGTTGGAAGGAGGAAAAACGGGATCAAAGGACCTATGTGGAACTGCAAGTAAAATGACCGTAGATCGCGCCTAGGGTCTATAACTTGCCCTCAAGCGTTGGATCTTCGAAGCGATCGTTAACCCAAAACGATATTATGCGCAGCTCTAGTCCGGTGGATTTTGAAGAACAAGGTTATAAAGTTAATAGGGTCGCACCTCCATTAGTGGCTAACAGCTACTATATAGAATAAAGAGTATACGACTGATACTCGCAGACAAGGTTCTATATATTTACGAGATGGTTCAAAAATATACGGCTGCGGTATACTCCGCCCAATTAGAGATAAAAAAATGATTAAAGCTGCCAACTTATTACTGATTCTACCAGGCCGAAATATTTGCTTTGAAAACGATATCGGAGCCATACAGTGAGCAGGCTCTGAAAAAAGAGAATACATATAGAGAGTCAAGCGGACTCTAAGGTCTTATTTTTACACAGCACGTAGTCAGCCGTGTTTGCACTATGCAATGGGGCGATCAAAACACTGTCTGATAAGGAAAGATTCACATTTGCTGGGTGCCTGGTTATACGGGCTAAAGAGAGTGTGCTATTAATACAAGACAACAATCGTTCTACCAGCTCCAAACAGCGCAGAGTCTACAAAACAATCGACACTACACTTACCAAGCTTTTACTAGTGATAAAGATGTTGAACTCCAGGCTGCTAATAGAGCTGTTAACAGGGCAAAGCCTTTGAGCATCGCATGCCTTCAATTTAGACCTGATATAAGGCAACAGAGGCAATAAATGTAGAAACCGTGCGAAAATAGTGGAGCATAAAATCTGTGAG